GATTCGGGATTTTGATTTTCGGAATTTTGATTTTCGGGATTTTGATTTGACTTAGACCCGGGTGGCGATACATCGCTATAGCAATAAATTATAAAGCCCTAATTCGGTAATTAGAAAATAGATTAATTTAAATTTAAATCGAAAACCCGTTTCGATACTAGTCATCTGCTCAAATCCTTCAAAAGTAATTCACAATATTTTTATCATTGGCTCAATGAGAGAATATGTGAGCCATTGAGAAAGTTTATGGAATGATACTAAATGATCTGTGGAATTAAGACTAGTATTTGGTGATTTGAGTACTTCGCATGGCCAAACATCTCTTAATGATACGCCTTCTAGAGAAGTTCTTGTTGGCGGCCAAATTTCTGAAAATCCATAAACTATAACTGACCATAATGTATCAAGTTCTATGAAAGTTCCAGTCTCATTGATTATAGAATTTGACAATAGATAATCTAAAAAATTATTGTACAATAAGTAATAAAGTTAATAATCAATTCTCCCCAATGATCACTCATACCAAACTTACAACTAATGAAAACAGAAACTTGTTGGAGAAAAGTAGAAGAAACAAGAGGTCAAGGGTTTTCTCGTTCTTCTTTTCCCTGGACTCCTTTGTATATTCAGCAAGCAAGTTAAAAGCATTATTGTACAAGATAACTGGCAGGAGGTGATGCTCTTGTACAAAAAATTTTAATAGAAGCATAGCTTTTGCTAATGAAGTAAAAGTATAATTGGTCTAGGAGAACAGCAAGCAAGTTTTCAACACGCTCTCTATCAAAGTTTAAGATTACCTGCTAACCAAAATTCTTTAGAACACACCACTCTTTGCATTTCACAAAATTTTACCAAAAAATAAAAAAAATAGCATACTCTATCAAAGGATCAACAATAATGATCACTGCTGAAAAAGAAAAATCACATACAGAAGTACATATCTACTTTGGGATAAATAATATATAATTGTATTTTTAAATTAAAAGTATATGAATATGTTGCAGAAGTTTTATGGAACTACACAATTTGAAATTTTGAACTTGAACCTTTACTCAAGAACAGATGGTTTTTTAATGAAGTTTTTACATCCTAGATATAGATATAAATAACTAATGTAGAGTTCATTAGTAGTACTATATAATGTTTTTAGTCTGACACAGGGCTTAATAATACCATCTTTGTTTTCTTTTCTTTGTTTTTATTTTGTTTCTTTGATTTGTTTGGTTTATTTATCTTAGGTGGATTGGTTTTATTGCTAAATATATTCTCCTTTTTTGTTATCCCTTTTGAATTTGTATTTGTATTTCTCTACTAATAAGAAAAGCCAATATTGATGCTTATGGCTTGCAGTCACCAGCCAAGAATTGAAGGGAAAAAAGTTCTTAAATAGTTTCAAACCTGGATTGAGACCAATGACTGCTGAGGCAGGCCACATTGGGTGAAAGCTTGGTAAGCCGTTGTTCAGAGGATTATATAGCTAGGAGAAAAATTCTTGTAATTTGTCAAATAGTTTTAATTGTAAATAAACACTGGCAGGCAGCCGAATTATAAAAAAAAAAATAAAGTTAATAATCATGCATATAGCATAACGTAGCATAGTACCATGAATAATAAAATTTCGTTAAAATACCTATAGATTGCCAGACCTTGGTGGCTAAATGGAAATTTATGAACACTAATTTTACATTTCTGATTAATATTAATAATTAAGATGCATTACTCACAGAATTATTATTGCTTTTGAAATATTTAGATTGAACTTTCAAAGCATGACCCAAACGACTAAGCAAATTAGCACGACCTTCAAGTCCTTCTAGAGGATTATTCTCATTAACTTGAAATGCCAAGCGAACATCCTCTACTCTAATTTTTTCAAGCCTATCCGCTATAATATGAGTCAACCAAAAATATGTTAAATAATTCTCATGAACTTCTCGTAATAAAGAATTAATTTGTTGTAAACACGTACCATCAACTTGATGCGGCTGAGAATCTAAAGTTGAAAACATCCCAGATTTAAACATATCTAACGATGCTATGGCTAGTCCTTCGGATCGATTATAGATATACCCAGTTTCTTGTTCTTTATAAGACCATGCATTTCCAGCGCCAGCATCTAATAAAACAGAAATTACGAACAAATCTAAAAGTCTACGTGTTATTTCCAGCTCATCACAATTAGATTTCCACTCATTTATAAGAATCCAACGACCATGTGGCGGGATATCGCTAGTTTGTTTATAATCGCGTTTAGTTAATGCGATTACTTTGGTGACTACATCCTGAAGCTTCGAAAAATCTACCCGAAAATGATTGAGAGTGTTTGTTTTTGCTTTTTCATAAACTTTATTAGAACGTTCACGAACGGATCTAAGACTTTTAAAATGTTTTATTTGTTCCTGCATGGTAGGGTTTACGGTAAGAAAATTGCTGGTGATCAATTTGACCTCGTATTAAATATATTCGTGATGTGTAACCAATAATTTTTATGTAATCTTACTACGTACTGGAAATCGAGAATAGAAAATGGAGATTCACAGTAGATTAGTCGATTTTGTTTAAATAAAAATTTCGTAGTAAATTTTTTCGGGTAAAAAAAAAAAAAAAAAAAAAAAAAAATTCACACATCTAGCAAATTTTCTAGGTTATTTGATACGTATTCTGTTTATAACGTCAATATTAGTTATAATCAAAAATCCCGAACCTTGTTTTAACAACCGGAAAATTAGAGTATTAGCGTAACGGAGAGAGAAACCTGTAAGTGATGCTTTTAGATTATCTACTTTTAATAAAAATATCTCAAAATCAAATGACTTAATTTTTGTCGCGGCTGAAGCAGAAAATTAGTAACTTCGATTTTAAAATATAAACCCTACCAAAATCCACCTATACTCTTTTATTATCAAAATATTAGCCTAACTATAAAAAAAAAAAAAAAAAAAAAAACTAGAGAAATACACCCCCAAAAAATTTCGTATTAACGTTAAAATATTTAAAATTTCTAGCTTCAGCCGCGACAATTTTTTTTAATATAAATATTTCGAGATCAGGTGTAACGTGAGTCATGTATGGGTGGATTTTTACGAATCCCCCTCTTTACGGGTCACGTGAAATCGTCGATCATTTCCGACCTGGATTCGAATCCGCATTGTAGATCACATGTAAATTACGCTTTTTTAAAACTTCGATCAAAGGTATCTTAACAGTCACCCAATAAAATTCGATGAACTTTTTTTTATTTGAATTTTATGAATCCTTAGAATTCAAATAAAAAAAAGTACATCGAATTTCATTAGGTGGTTGTCGAGATATCTTTGATCAAATTCAGGAGATATTTTGCCGCAGCTTATATTTTGATAGCATTAAAAATTTTTTTAAAAACTTTGATCGAAAATATCTCAACAACCACCCTATGAAATTCGACGTACTTTTTTTTATTTGAATCCTATGAATCCATGGAATTCAAATAAAAAAAAAGTACATCGAATTTCATTAGGTGGTTGTCGAGATATCTTCGATCAAAGTCAGGAGATATTTTGCCGCAGCTTATAAGTTTAAAAATTTTTTTAAAAATAACTTTGATCGAATATATCTCAACGACCACCCTATGAAATTCAGTGTACTTTTTTTATTTGAATTCTATGAATCCATGAATTCAAATAAAAAAGAGTACATCGAATTTCATTAGGTGGTTGTCGAGATATCTTTGACTAAATTCAGGAGATATTTTGCCGCAGCTTATACTTTGATTGACATTTGAAATTTTTTTTAGAACTTTGATCGAAGATATCTCGACAACTAATCTATGAAATTCGATGTACTTTTTTTTATTTGAATTCTATAAATTCTATAGAATTCAAATAAAAAAAGTGCATCGAATTTCATAGATTAGTTGTCGAGATATCTTCGATCAAAATTCGGGAGACATTTTGCCACAGTTTATATTTTAAAACTTTGATCGAAGATATCTCTACAACTATCTTATGAATTTTATGCTGAAAATACTATATATAGTGCCACATAAGTAATTTTTCATTTTGCATTACCCGCTGTCTCAAATTTTTCTAACTAATTTTTTTTTTTTTTTTTTTTACAGCATAATTTGGTTTAATATAAATTAATATTTATTTAATAGTTTTAATGAATCAAAGCTTTAGGAGTTAAAATATTTGGCTACATGAATACTCATAAGAACATGGGTCTATTAATTTTAGATTAATAACAAAAAAAAATCCAACCACAAGAACGGAAATAACAAAAAAAAAATTTTAACCACAAGAACAAACTTCGATTTTGTGTGGCCTAAGCGATGAGAATTTAGCTACAAAAGCCCTTTAACTTCAAAAAAATCCAATCACAAGAACGAAACTTCAATTTTGTGTGGTCTAAACGATAAGAATTCAATTGCAAAAGCCCTTTAACTTCAAAAAAATCTAACCATGAGAATGGAACTTCAACTTTGTATGATCTAAACAATAAGAATTCAACTACAAAAGTCCTTTAACTTCAATAAAATCTTTTATTTTTTAATTTATAACATGATTGATTCAACTTCTAGTTTATCGATATGCTACAGTACATGAGCAAATTTACTTACAAGATATTTCGTTGCAAACTTGTATATTTGGTTAGTTTCATTTGGTCAATTTTAAAACTGTAAACTTTAAGCATTCCTCTTACTGATGTTCAAAATTTTTTATAGGTTTCAATCAAGAATGTTAGGTCACAATAATTTTCAGAGTATTTTTTTTTATAAACATTTCAGCCACATTTATACATACAGGCATTATTCTAGAAGTGGGTTTTTACATTTTTTATACTGATTGAATGCAGTTAAGCTTTATCTAATTAGTATGAGTGATATATTTAATGCTTAATTTATTTATTCCTTATTTAGTACTATGCAGTCAAACTATTTAGAGTTAGTGAGAAGTATCATTATTGTCAATAGCTAAATCAGCTGAAAATTGTAATTGTGAATCAAAGCTAATCGAATTGGTCGAGAAGCAAATAGGACTATTAATTTTAGTAAATAGAATTAAATATTGTAAATTAACAAATTAAATCATATATAAATAAAAAAAGAAATTAAAAATTAAGCAAATATATAAAAATTTTTTTTTTTTAATATTAAGGTGATCACTTGGGGGTCTAGCACGGTTTATTAACTTCTCAATTCAATTATTGGGATACCGAATAGGCACCTCTTGACTTTGTTACATCAACGAGAGTACAATTGGTCACACATA